CAAAGTTAAGCAAATCAGTGCAGCAATAGGTACTTTACTCCGAAATGTTTCGGAATAAAGATAACTGCATCTGATCTTTGGAGGTATATACTTTAAGTGTCCATTCTCATGCCTCAGCTTCACATTGTTCCGGACTATGGAACTGAACTCTTATCCGGGATAAGGGACTGACCTCAAAACTAATTCGTCGAGGGTGATGGACTGATTATATCTTTACACCTCCCACTGCTTCTACTCTTTCCTGTGTCTGTATTCGGCTAACGTTTTTTTTTTTACCCTTTGTACATATGGATCGACCTAGGTCTCAAAACAAAAACGTTTTCTTGAAATTATCGTAAAATTATTTGTTTCTTTTTTTCCCCACTGTTTGTCAGTATAACATACCTCCATAAATATTATTAATAGTAGATAAACATTCTTAATAGCAGAACCAACAAGTTGATGGCTGAGATACTTGTGCAACACTTATCTAACTTCATTGTGGAAACGTTTCACCAACCTTATCAAGATTGACTGAACACATCGACTCAAGGCTGAGGGACTGATTACGTCAAACTCCTTTGTAATCTTCCATCATTCATCTTTATGCCGGACTGAGGAAGCCACTTGTTAGCGAAACGTTTCCACAATAAAGATACACAAGTGTCTCAATTATTTTTAATAGTGCCGGATATGATGTTTACCATTCTTGTTTTACTCTTGACAGTGATGGAAAGGTCTGAAATCTGGCTGACTTCAAGTACTAAGACTCGGCCCCAGTTTGTCTCTAGGAAAGCGGATGATTCTCTCAGTTTTCATCCTACAGTTATTAGTGAAGCGTATTGTGTACTGAAATTCAGAAAAGCCTCTTCTGGACTGAGGAAAAGGTAATATCTACAACCTTCCGTGTATGCCCACTGTATTTAACTGGTAAATCTACCGAATGGCGAAACGTCTAAAAATAAAAAAGACCCAGATGTTTCACATGTCTAATACATCATCTTGTAGTATTGTATACCTTGGATATACAACAGTTCATACAGTTCCAACACAATGGAATAAACCTCCAAGTAAAACCGAAATAAATATTTTACAGATCTTTAAGGCTGGGTTGGACAAATACAGAAGTGAGAATGTGAATTGGACCTACCTAGTATGGTCAGTAGGCCTACTGAAGATTTTTTCTGTTATGTACACAATTCCAGACGCAACACAGTGGAGACACTCGAAACAGTTAATATTATAACGGGTTTCACCACAATACCATTAACACAGTAATTGGACGTAAACACTGACCCCACGAATGGCTCAGAAATGTCAGGTCTGTAAAGAATTAAATAACAGGTAATATACTTAAAAGTGAGCTAACAACTATCTTAGACTGTTCTAGCACTTGCACTCCCTAACTTAACTAAGCCTACACCACCACAGGTAATAATTACATGCTCAAAAAGGGCATAACAGGTAGCTACAACAGGTGTACCCACCATGTCAGCGTCACGGGGGAGACTGGAGAGTGGTTCAAGGAAGGTTCTGAACCCACCCACTCACTGTAAGCGATTGCAAGAGTAAACCAATTGTATTTTCTCCTCCCATACCGATCTCTGTCGTCTGGAGTAGAGGAGGATGTTAACTGCTTATCACCTGGGTTAACAAGTCATTTAAGTAGCGATTAGTTGTCCTCAGGCAAGTCAGTTACAACCATGACGTCATTGATGGAGGATTCTGTGACGTAATAAGATGTAGACTTACATCAATATCTTAAGGTATAATGTTCGCAAATAAGACTAATACGCTTGCAAACTCCTCCACGTTACAAGATCATAAGATATCCTAGAGTCATAGGCTATACCAAGTGGAACTGTTAGTGAGATTGTGAGGCTAATGGCAGATCCTGGCGCTTATTCCAATTCCTGACTGAGATAACATGGTTACGTATGCTCGTGATGTCTTCAGTATAGAGAAAGTAAGCATACCTCAGTATACGTAACATCCGCTCTCCCAGGCAATGGTAATTTAACAGAAAGTGTCTTTGGGCAAAATTCTTATATTCGGGAAAAAATCAAAATAGAATTTAGAGGTTTCAGCGGAAATATATATATATATTTTCAATTTGAAGTTTCAAACTGTTAGGTGCCTCTTGAAAAAATCTCCGGAGGGCTCTTGATCCACGATTGGGACTTTATATCCCTGCCTTGGGTTGAATTTAATGCCTAATCCTGGGCGCTACATCCCCCCTACAGGTTTACCCGCTTCACCCGTGAGTAAATGAAAAAAATCACTCAGCTCATACGCCTGTTTAACTGATGTAAAATTTTAAAACATGTGAGTCTGATTTTGGTAAGTAAGATTTTCCGGATTTTTAACCCGGGGTTACCCAACTCAGATTAAAACCAAGATAGTAATGCGTCATCGAGGACTTCTCCTTAATTCCATTCGGTCCTAAAATCTTGTCCCCAGGATGCGACCACACCAGTCGACAACATCCAGACCTACTTGCTCCCCTTGCTAGGTGGCCGGAGAACAGGTGTAAGGAAACAGCCCAATTTTTTCCCATCCTTGCCGGGTTTCGAACCCACGGGTTGTATAGCTGTGAAGCGAGAGCGTTGCCTACCGGGGCCACCATTAGCCTTCCCCTCCCCCCTTATGGCGCCGCCCTGGTGGTAATTAAGAACATAAGAAGGAAGGAACATTCTGTTAGCTTTATTGCGTTTTAGGTTTTTGGTTTTAGGTTACTGCTAACCAGAACTCTTAAATTCTTTCGCAAATCAGATATAGGATGGGTGTCAGGGAGAAAAACCAAAACGCCTTTACATTATTTACAGGAGTCACTAAATTCCCCAGAGGTCATACAGCGCCGAGGGAGTAAAAAATGCTCAGCTGAAAGGAAAGAATACCTCCAGTTCCTTGGATGCAGGGAAACTCTACGAGCAGACGCCTCCACCTGGGTGAATTGTGGGTATTTTGGACCACTGGTGGAGATCAGTCATACAAAATAACTGGACCTGCTCAAATGTGTATTTTCTGAACACATGGGATTAATCCTGACAATCTCATTCCACAGACGCTGTATGATCCCTAAGGGTTGTGTTCAAGGAATATAAATGTTCTTGCATCATCGATTCCTCTAGCATCAAGAACGCCCTCCTCTCCCTTAAACCTCCTCATATCTGCTGGTAAACGGACATAAAAACATCGTTTTTCTTTCATATTTTTTATTCTGAATAAATAAACCGAGAATTATCACACTACGGGCATGATAATTCTCCATAGCATGCATACAGACAAAATAAAAGCATTCTATATACAAGCAAGACAAACTTGACCCAATACCTGGACGCATAAATTCCTAAACGTGATGAAGATCTTAATGACTGACTATGGCAGGGTTAAGAGTACTCCATCACACGTTGCAGGCCGATGGGATGTTTTCTGATCAAAAATTTATCATTAACGCAGATGTAAAATCCAGAAACTGGTGCCAGATTTAAGAATGCTGTGTTACACTGGTACGAAAACCATGTACAGAACAAGCTTTCATTGGGACTCTGAGAAGCTTTTGTCCCAATGAAAGATTTATATATACTGTGATCTGTACCTATAGGTACTAGGCTTCTGCATCCTCTTATGGTACAGAGTCTGGTGTATATAACATGTACAACATTAGGAAACTGATAAATTTCTCTCAACAGGAGTTCCATCAATTCATTGTATTGATGAAGATGTTTCTGATGAAGGAAACTTTAGAAATGATTCCCAACTCTGAACATGTGCACTTATATATTTGTAAGTTCTATAACAATGTGAAAGTGCCCGGTCTCCTATCTCGGTGAGGTTGATTCAACTAGGCTTTTAGACTCCAGGCCTCAAAGTTTGAGACTAGTACAATCGAATCTCTATCCCGAAATAGCTGGGGCAGAGGGCACCGCGGCATAACCAAAATATCTTTCAAAATAAGCAGCTCCCCCACCCACACACAAAAACACACAGAAGGCTAAGTGTCTATCGAAAAAATGCCTTTGACAGTAACTGTCATGCGGCCTACTAAAGCTTAGCTCAATATTCTAGTCACGGGAGGTATTTGTTAAGAAGTCTGCCGACAGTAATACTGAAGATTTTTTTGAGCGATCACCAACAGCCTGACTGATCAGACATCAGGCCACGACTAGCGAACGGAAGACTGAGCGTCCACCACTGCATTGAAAACTCCCTGACAAGGATTTCAATGCTGAATAAAATAATTACAGGTTCTCATAAACCATGAAGTTGCAACTTTATGTTCCAAGATGGACAAGACAAGACAAAACTATTTTTACAAGTACACTTCAGATTATATAAAAAAAATAGAAATGGCTGACTTATGTAAACTACATTAAATTGATCAATTCAGGAAGTCTTAACTTTAACAATCAGTTAAGTTACTTTAATTAGATTGCAAGTATTAATGTTTTTGACACTACATAAAGTTTATGATTTAAAACATTGAGATATGCAGCAATTTGTGAAGTACTGGTAGAATATACATTTGGTTATTTCATATAACGAAATATTTTGGTGATAAATGAGATCAAGTGAGATCAGGATATATGCAAACATTTGTACCAACTGAATTACTATTGCTAACCTGGGTTTTAATTAATTTAATCAATGTTTAGGTCAGATTTGGGAGATACGCTTAACTATTTTCAAGGACATGGCAGAATTTCTTGCACCTGGACGAGAATTCTACATTTAAAGGCTCTTTATCTGCAAGGAGTTCCTATACAGGTAGAGTCATACACATGGTATATTAAAGAGGATATTAGTTTGTTGCACATGTTTTGTTGCAGCTCTCTAGGAAGAGTCGTAGCGCTGGGTGAAATTAGTTCCGAGTATCCTCTCTGTATAAAAAGCACAGGTGCTGATTTGTTGCAAGCCGAGTAAATTAAGGCTGAATAGTAGGATGTTATTGTTGTTTGAAACCTAATTGGGTGATTATTCTAACAACTGATGTCTGTTGGGTAACTATGGGTGGTTTGACGTAGTTTGCTGATGTAGATCCCAAAGCACTAAACAATAAGAATTAAGAGCAGTATACATAATCTTCAGTTTCTCCTGTAATTTGAGTTAATTGTGAACTGTTCCAACTATGGTACTGTAGTTACTTGTGAACTGTACGAACCCTTTGTACTGTGACTTATTGCTCAGGACATTACATGTACTTCTGTTATTATCTGAGTAAGGCCAGCTGGAAAGTTTTCAAGCGGAGAAGCAGGTGGGTGAAGTCAGCAGCTGGACGGTTTCACCACTTCCTACCAGGACGTCGTTCTGTTTACCACCAGGGCACAACACGACCCCTCAGACCCCAGCAGCGGCCCACCACTCCGCTCTCTGTCGTAGACAAAAGGATAGGAGCACAACAGCCATTTGTTTATCGTAGAATTCCTAATAGAGCGATAAAAAAATTCCGCTTAAGGACACCCTTTTAGAAAAGCTTGAAAAAATATCTGCTGAAGACCTTATTTTTTTTTAAACTGTCATAGCAAGAGCAGGTGAATTGGCAGGACAGGAACACACGAAAATAAATTAGAAAATTTGCAGAGAAGTTAGAAAAAATGCGATTCTAAAGTATTACTATAGAGTAGCCTTATAAACTTATATTCACTGTGAGAAAATTACAAATAGAAGAGTAGAAACAGTGGTGGCTAGGATTCCTTGAGGTGTATATCGAAGATAGGTGTAGCAAATCCAAGAGAGAAAAGAATGTAAATATGGAGTGGAGCATGAACACTCCAGTACAATATATTAGAATACGGAATACAAGACTAGAATACAGCAAAAAAAAAAAAGTATGCAAATATGGAAATAACTGTTGACGGCCTTATATATGGGTATTTAATGTTATTTGTAAAGATAAAGATATAGTGGCTTCACGAGTCCATACCTTCGTATGGACTGATGAAGCCACTGTGTGGCGAAACGTTTCCTCAATAAAGATACACAAGAGTTGCACATGTGTCTAATTTATCAACGTGTCAGTTCTCAAACCATTCATCTACAAGTGAGGATACTGAAATTATAAGTTTAGTGGTACCTAGATTTTGAGTCCAGATGGAATCTATGTCGCCAATGGCGTGTCAGTTATCAGGGCTCATTTACTGTTAAATTTTCACTCACGGGATGAGCGATTGCTCAATGACTTCGGCATTAACGGAAATATTTTAAATATTACCGTTTATAAATATTTAAGATACGCATCAGTCATTAACAAGAATAATATATTCCCAAAATTACCAAGTCTGGAGTGATCTTTAGGAATCAAAGCAAAGACTAAATGTCAATGGAATTTTAAAGTATCATGCTATATGTTTAGACCATTGTAAGGTGATCCATGATTAATAAATCAACAATAAATTGTTAATCTCAATAATAGGACTGTCTGTAAAAGTGTGCTCTCGAGTTCATTCTTACCTTTGAACAGATTTTCAATGTTGAATATGGAGACGCTGGAGAGTGGAAGTGGGCCATCAGAAGCGGGGATATATGAGCTTCCATCGATGATCCAAGTGGAAGTGGCGTACTGGATCTTGCTCGGTCTTCCCCGTTTCCACCAAGAATGTGTACCTCTTACCGTGCTCCAGTCTTTGGGGAATTCTAAATGAAAAAAAAAAAACTATTTGTAAATATGGAGAAGAGTAAATTTAAGAAATAAAATATGATTATAGCTTAAAGAGAAGCAGAAATCACTAAACAGATTTAAGAAAAACGACTACCACAGGAGTAATACCAAAATAACTATAATCAGTCGATTTAACAGTCCCATATTACGAGAGAAAGCCTCCATGAAAACGAATACGCTGAAGCGAGTCAGAGGACGTACGTAGTAAGTCAGGAGATCAAACTTTATGGTGTGTCCATTGTTGGTGAAGAGGTGATGCTCAGTTGTCCAGCCATAAGTTGTCCCGGGCCCTGCCCCAAGCTGCAGCCTCAGCCGGAAGTGGTACACTGGAGGAGACAGGCATTTGTAACAGATCTGTGTTAAGTAACCTCCCAAGGCAACAGAAATAATGGCTCCAGGGACTAGGCCAACATGTGGCTCTTATCTTTCAGCTACCGCCGCGTAGAATGGATATGGGGTGTATAATGAAGTTAAACTAATTTTAGAAGACACTGGGAAAACCTCTTATTTTGGCGTATGTTTGAAAACATACACCACAATCAGGAGGATGAAGAAAAAGACATTTGCAGCAAAATACGTATGGGTCATACAGTGACTGGAGAATGGAAGGCAACCAAGTTGACCCAAGAAGCAACTCAAATGGTAATATTGTCACATTAATGTTTAATATATTCTATACTTAATATACTGACTGAAATGTTACACATTGCAACGTTCTTAGGTATGAAAGCAGTTAGTCAAGCAGTGATGAACATCGTAGGCAACAATGTTAACCAGAAAAATAACTTTTTATATTATTATTATTATATAATCAAGGGGGAAGCGCTAAAATATAACTTTTATAAAGAATCATGAATCAATACTTACAGCAGAGATTCTCTACCGGCCAGTGGTGAGGTAAAACTTGAGGCCAACTTGTCCTCTGCCTGGCCAGGTGTCTGCGTAAAATCCCATGCTGGCACACCTGTGCCATCCTCACCACAACTGAAGCATTTACCCTGCCAACAACACATTCTCGACTAATTTTAGTATCTTCGTGGTTTCAAATGGTTACGCTAAACTAATATCTTCACTATTGAGAACTGCTGTACTTTCTCACTCTGGTAAAACTTGCCGCAATGACCAAACTTTTGAAATAATTCTCAAAACAAAGTTAAGATATATTTCGGTTGCCTCCGTGAGAGTGAAGTATCCTCGCTATCTAACAGTGTCGCTTTAAGTGATTAATGTATTGCAGATTAAACAAGCGATCGATAAATTGTGCCAAATTTAAGTATTTTGTTTGGGCTTTTACTATGAGGCTTTGGATTCACTAAAGTTATTATAGATGCATTAGGAATGAATGAATTTAAACTCCAGGGCATTATTTAGCGTACAATAAAACAATTATACTTTTAACATTTAGGTTAATCATGCATATATGTATAAGAATAATCCTTCATTTAAAGAAAAAACACTATACACAAGCTTTTGTTGGGACAGAGTTCCCATGTGTCAGGATCGTAAGTCATGATGAAGATCTTACACAGATAGGAACTATTTCCCCCCCCCCCCAAAAAAAAAGGTTGATCTGTGAAGCGTCTCCTTTCGTCACTACCATCGGCAGTACCTTGTCTGAAGTCGCTATTCACCTTGTAGAATATACCATAGATGATACCACTCACTTGTCGGTACTGCTGGTAGGAGTGGCAGCTGAAGGCGATGTAGGGGCACTGAGAGTCTATGGAGTCACGGAAGAGGAACGCAGCTCGTAAATGGTTACACCCGAGAGCGTCCTCCACAACATTCCATGCTGCAATAAAATGTATATATTTTTCTTTAACATCCAGCCTATTGAATTTCTTAGACACTGTACCTTACAACAGTTTTGTTTATTTGTGAAGCTGTTAAATGCTACTGGGTCACAAAATATTTTAACCTTGCTTAGCGCTTCGATGCTGTCCCACGGACAGTAGTGAAGTGACCCAGGTCGGTGACAGGTGTAGTAACCACGTGGGTCAGTTAATCCCTTAAACAGGGATTAAACTCTCAGCATATAAATGCTGAGAGAAATACATCCCTCAGGGTATATATCCTGTGAGAGAAATGCACATCTCTGATATATCCTGAGACCCTCGGTCAAAGGTAAACAAAGTAACCAAGAGAAAAAACAGCTGCAGTTTCCCTGGTTTCAGGAGGACAACTAAGGGTACAAACACTGGATCACAGATGGCGCTGACATACACTTACTCTGGAATTAATCTAAAGGTAACATGAGCTCTTAATAAAAAAAGTAATGCCAGGTTTGTCTGCTATGACTTCCCAACGCCCGCTACTGGTTAGGACATAATAAAATCGAAATTAATTATTCCCTAAATTGGAGACGATGAAATTACGTATATTAAATTGCTAGACACAGCTGTGAGTAAGTTAGATTTCCTTGTCGTGCTGGATTTGGCCCGAGGGCAGTGTTTTGCCCAGCTTGTTTTAATGGCAGTGCTTGAGCATCCAACAGGCGTGTGTGAGCATGTTAGATTAGAGGTGGAGACAATTAGTCTGAAATATTTGACATGCTGTTGGAGTGTGAGCAAGACAACATTTATGAAGGGAATCAGTGGAAACTGATATAATCACACTGACCCTGTCTCCAGAGTGCAGGCACTCTGGAGAGACCGCCGGTGTAATTAAAAAAAAAAAAAATTAGCTGCTGACAAGTTTTTAAAAGTTACACTTGTTAATTTCGTTGACCCTTAAAGTCTCACTTGCTACTTTTACGGAATCTCATTTACCTCTGGTGAAATTTTTGCCATTTATGAACCACCTGATGGGCGCTGCTAGAGGCGTTCTCACAGCCTGTCTGGTTCTGCCGCCGTTGGGATAGAAGTCAAGGTGACCAGCTGGCTCCTTCAGTCCGTACCCACCATCTGTGTACACGTTTAACAATCATTAGTAACACATCACGAACAGAGTGGAAGGTACACATATTGTCAGGGAGAATCTTCATGAAACTCACGTCAGCTATTTTCAATTAAACTTTTTAATTAGGCTTAATTTTTTTTTACATTTGGGGATGAAAGGTTAAGGTGTTTTTTTTGGGGTAAGGGGTTTTTAAAGCCTAGTAAAAGGTCATTAACCCTTTGCATATAATGGGTTTCACTAAACCCAAAAAAAATATTTTAATCCCTAAGTTTAAAGGGGAAACCTCAAAAGAAAAGAGAAGGAGAAGAAGAAAAGGGAAAAAAAAGGGGGAGAGAGGGGAGAGAAGAGAAGAAAGAAGAGAGAGAGGGGGAGAGAGAAAGGAGGGAAAAGAGAGGGGGCCCTCCTGTGAATTTTACCCTTAATGCCCAAAATTAAAAAAAAAAAACCTTTACAGAGTAAAAGAATTTTTCGGGTTTAAATTTCCACCTTTTTTTTAAACAAAAAAAAGGGAAAAACAAAAACATTATTTTGACTTAAAAAAAAAAAGGAAGGTTTTTAGTATGCTTTAAAAAGGTTCATTTCCCAACCCTTTTCCATTAAATTAATTTAGTAATTTTCAATGATGTGAAAGGAGGTAACACTTTTAAGGGTTTGATTAAAGGGGAAAATTTTTTGTTTTACGTAACTCGGGGCGGGGGGTTGGGCCCTTTAAAAACCAAAGCAAAACTGAAGAAATACTGAACTTAAAAAAAATCCCCTTCCCCCTTCCCCCCCCAATCCCCCAAAAAGGGCGACAAAAAACCACACCCTTTTTAAAGAAACTCTTTTCTCAGTATCTTTCCATTTGTTTTACGAAGGTAAAAGAAAGGTTTCCCAAAGGGGGAAAAGGTCTCCAGGGGTTGGATAACGTCCAAAGAGGCGCCCGTGGGGCCCGGGGACGGCGCTGGAAGGAAATGTACTGGAAGTGGGGTTTCCCCCGGCGGGGCCCCAGCCCTGAGTTTCCTTCCCATTTTGGGGCACTCGCCCCCCCCCCTTTTTACCCTCCCAATTTTTCTTTGTCAGTTGTATTTGAAAACGATTGGAAATTACCGCCCAACATGTTGTAAAAAACATTTGTGGTCAGGGATTTTAAAAAAGGGAAAAACGTTTTAAATTGAGTGTTTTTTTTTTTCACTAATTTTAAAAATTACTAAAATTATTTTTAAAATTCAGGGGGCCCGCGCTAAAACTGGAGGGGTTAAACGGCCGGGGGAAATGGAAAACAAAGGCTCTAGGAATAGACCAAGAAACTATTATTGGGGGCCAAAGGGAAACCTCAATAAATGAACCCCAAAAAACCACACATGGAGAGAGAAACTTTTTACAAAACCCTTTTTTTACGACGTTTTCGGTTGATTTGGGGGGCTTTAATTTGTCAAACTTTTTTCATTATCTCATGTGGGTTTTTTGGGAAATATCGTTCCATCACGGTATTTGCTTTTTTACTCTATAGGGCTTATATTTTTTTTTAACATTTTTTCCCCGGGTGTTTTTCCCCAATTTTGGACGTACGGAAACTGGGGGAAACCAACCGAAACGTGAGCGCCGAGGAGTGCCCCGTTTTAGGTCACATCTTGATTTTCAAATGTCCCGTTTTTGTCCCGAGCCATTAAAAAGTGGGCCCCCCTCGAGTCCCCCCCAGGGCTTTGGGCCACAGTCTGCCCAATACAACCCCAGAAAACCCCATCCGCCCCCCAGTCCCCCTTTAACACTTGGGTTAGTCCCCCGGTGGGGAAAAAAAAGGCAGTTTTGCGATGTCCTTGGGAAATAACAAGTTTGAATCAGTCCCTATATTGTTTTAAATTTTCATGAAGAAAGTAGTTTAAATCAGGGCCCAATGCAACCCTCCGTCGATTTAAAGATAAAAATATTATAATTTAGCTAAATAAAATCATGGACTTGGGCTTTTCTGCCCAAATGTTTTATAGGGAAGGTTTTTGAGCTGATATCCCGCCGGAAGCATTAGTGGTAAAACGAGCATACAAAAAAATTACATTTTTGAAAAAAATTTTTATCTTTTTGCTTTAAATTTAAAAATTTTAAAGTACTGAAAAACTGGGGCCCAGCCCAAACGGGTGGGTTTAAAACGAAATAGGGTTTCTCAATTAAGGAAGGATGCAAGATTTTTTAAAACCCTGTGGCCCTTAAATTTGGGGGTTAATGCTTCAGTTATTCTTTTCCCTTTAAGTTTTAAAGTGAAAGGATACACAATGTCCCAAAAAATTACTATAAAAATTTACAAAAGGTGGGAAAAGCATTCTTTCCCGTCAAAAAAGGGCATGTCCCGACCATTGAGATACCCAGGGATATGTTTTCCCGTCTTTCTGGGGGGCCAAAAGGAAAGTTTTAAAGGCCCCCTTTGGGACATCTTGGGGGGACCCAAATACCCCCGCAAGGTTCCTCCCTAGATTAGATAGTAAAGGGGGACGTTGAGGGTTCTCTCCACCCCGGGTTTGGGAGATTGAGGGGGCCCTTTTTTTTGGGGTGATAAAGTCCGGGGCCTGCTCCGGGCCCAATCCCAACCCCCAAAAACAGTAACGCTCTGCAACCTCGTCTCCTTTAGCTGGAAAAAAAAAGAAGTTTAAAATACGTTTTCAGTCAAATGGCATTTTTAAAAATCTAAAAGGACCAATCATTAAGTTTTTTTTTCGGACGGGGAAATTATGATCGATTGAACTCGATTACTTAACGGGAATTTTAGGGGCAAAACGTTTACCGAAATATTGTAATTTTATACATAACAACTTTCACTAGGTTTTGAAAATTTTTTCCCTTTTTAATTTTTGTAGGTATTACAAAACCCCTCCAAAAATTTAAAATGTCGGGACAATCCGGGTTGACCCAAGGGGGTTTAAAAATTTATAAATTTTGAAAATTTGATTAAAAAAAAATTTCTGGTATTTTTTCCAAAAATTTTCCCCGGTTTTTAAAAACCCAAAAACCCAGCCTCCCTCAAATTGGTTTTTTTTGACCCAATGTTGAAAGTCATTTTTTAAAATTATTGGTTATATGTTCAAAGTGTGAACAGGGAAAACCCCCTAAAACATCCAGAATGAATTATGTAGTAGTTAAAATCCCCAGTTATA